AGGATTCCCCGCTCGAGCGAGCACCTTCGTCCAGGGCTCCGCTCGAGCGACCATCGAGCGACCATCGCGCGTAAAATCTCAGCATCCAGTACTTTTACTGTTTTGCAGACCGCTCGAGCGAAGGATTCCTCGCTCGAGCGAAGCCTTTGATTTTGGACTTACGCTCGAGCGTAGAAAGTCTCGCTCGAGCGAAGCCCCTATTTTCAGCAAAGTTTGCAAAATGTTTTCTAAGTGTATTTTTGCACCCTCATCCCATCCTAGGCATTCTTAGGCCTAGTTTAAGACATTTAGATGAGGATATCGTTTGTAGAACACACCAAGGCAAATTAGGGATTAAATTATGATATTCCTCAACTGTGTAGCTTAGTGTTGTGTCAAATCTTGTGAACTGTGTAGGGTTGGCAACTGGGGAGACACGCTCTAGCATAACTGTAGGCCCAGAACTCTGTGAGTAACAATTGTGTAAAGATATGTTCAACTGATATCTTTTGAATATTGAACTGAACTGTATACTGAACTGGTATTACTGAATGAGGTATGTCCTTTATTTCTGAACTGTACTGTGGCATCCTTAGTATCTAACTTGTACTGTTACTGTTACTGTTACAGAGATCTCTTGTCGGTTCCCTCGTGGAACCACTTACTGTTTACTGACTGATGGCCACTCATTACTGTTCGGTCTTTTAAGACCTACTGTCACTGTTATGCTAATGGATGTACCACATATGACTGTTTACTGTACTGAACAACTGAAATACTGATGAATTGAACTGTTTTCATTACTGTAAGGACATTCATTCTAAACTCCTTTTACGCATATGTTATTTCACTGGGCTTTAGCTCACTGCTCATATATATATATATGTAGGTGTACAGGCACCAGACCGGAGCTAGGAGCGCGGGTTAGACTCCAGTTTTGTCAAGCCAGCCTATGTGCCTCACTGCGAGGTTCCGAGTTGCCATGCTATGGCTTTGGGGTGTTTTGTTTGTTTTCCCCCGTCTGTCTCCATACTGTTTGGACTACTGTTACTGTTATAAAGGGCTTAGGTCCCTGTACCGTGTGACTGTAAATTTTGTATAGACCGTACTGTTTTGTACAGACGGAACTTTTTCTGTACTGTTATGTAGGGTTGAGTCCCTAGTTTGAATGGATGTAAATATTGTACATACTGTTCTGTACTGTTTATGTATGAATGCATGAAAAATCTTTTTGGCATACAGACTGTCACAGCTCAATGGACATTATTTATTTACTGTATTGGCTTCCGCCAGGCCCTGTACTCTGTTTTACTGTATTACTGTTAAGCAGGCCTTCGGTAATCTCGGATTACTGGCCGGTTACGGTGCTAAACCCATAGGGCCGGGTTTGGGTCGTGACATGATTGGTCTTTTTTTAAAAAAGTGAGTAGTCACCTTCGAATGACGATTGAAGTACTGATTGTGTGGAGCGTGTTTAGCATTGATTGTTTATTACTCATAAATATGTGGATTTTTAATGGCATGTGATTTTGTGCAGCGCGACTTAGATGCTTTGTTTTTTCCTCACATTTCAGATTTGAATTATTAATCACATTAATACGACCACATGGCAATAGTGTTGACAAACAACTATATAAAGGACTGAAAGAGTGATGATAAACACACAACCTTTCCACTTAGTTCTCCCTAAGAAACTATCATTCATTTATTGAGAAAAAATCAATTGGAGTATACATTCACGGAAGGGGGTAAGAATTGTAGAGGTGAGAGTTCACGATGAGGAAGAGGAACGGAAAGGGGAAGTGGCAATGCTGAAGTTGAAACACCGTTTCCTTTGTTAGATGCCTCTTGTGCTTATCATGATAGGTTTGGGAAGCGACATTTTGTCATGCCCAAGTACTATCGAGATCCATGTGGTTTCGTGGAGGATCCATATATTAATCAAACAGGATATGGTTTAGCAGATGCTACATTTCTGAAATGGCCCGCACTATTTATAGAGCGCATGCAAATGGAAAGATTATGTCGGGAAAATCGACTGAAGGTGCCGAAAGCACGTTCAGTTGAGATTCAAAAGGAAGATCCAGATAATGTTGATCGACTATGTGAAAGACTTCGACGTGAGATTTCTCAAATGTGCCATAGGTTAGCTCGCGATATGAAACTATCTATACTTAAGTCGGATGGCAAGAAGAACAGAACAACACCAAATGGTGAGGCTATCAAGGCTGTCAAGGAGGATCCTGCACTTATCTCTAACCCTGAGCTCTCAGATTGTTCAGACTCTGAGATTGTTGATTTGAGCAAGGATTAGGCGTCTATCTGTCTACTAAATTATATTAGGTTATCCATAATTATGTATTGTGTGAGTTAAAATAACTCTTTCGACAATGAGTTTGTGAAAGGTTTGTCTAATATTTGTCTATATAACTGTTAAGTATTGTACTCGTCGCTTTATTTTATGTATTGTGTTATGTTGAATATTTCCACAAATTATTTTTGTGGGATACTTATGTTTGAACTAGGTACGTCGTTCTGAAGTGTTATAAGTGTTATAGTCATACCTTTATTTTGTTTTCCTGTTCGTAGTAGTAATTAGCAAATTAGATACTTTGTATATACTGTGTGAAGTTTTATTTAAATATTTCTTGGCAACAAATATTTAAGGGAACAACAAATATTTAGTTTTGAAAATTCCATGAAAGTAGGCTTAGTTTGGGAAATAAATTAGTATAGGGGCTTAGTTTGGGAAAAGCCCCGACAAAATCTCTCTGAAACTGCACAAAATGTTCTCTGGGGAGAGTGTATGTCTCGAGGCCATTATTTTCTTCTTATTTTTTAATTTTTAATTTTTTAATTTTTATTTGTTGTTTATTATATTTGAATTATAAATTTAAATAAAAATTAAAAAAAACAAAATAATTAGGTAAATTAAGCAAATATTTAATTTATATTTTTTCATATTTTTTTTACTTTTATATTTTTAAAGTCATAAGCGGTGATCATTGATTCAATGGTAAAATCTTAGTCTAATAATCTTTGATATGATGTTTATGCTTGCTTGTTTGTGGTTTTCTTTTTATTTTTTTATGCCACATCATTACAACTTAAATCAGAATTCTAGCTTTAGAGCTCTTAATCACTACTCTTTAGACAATCCATCCTGTTTATTTTTTAAAAAATTTATATATAAATTATTTATGTAAATATCAAATTGATCTGATAATCGTATATATAATTTTATCATTTTTATAAAAAAAAATAATGGATGAGAAATATAATTTCAAAATTACATAATTTATTTTTAAATATTAAAATAATAAAATTTGGTAGCTAAGATTGTTTATCAATACGATATTTTATATGAATAATTTATATATAGAGATCTAAAAGATGACTGAGTGAATTATAGAATGTAAATTGAAGAGAAATCAATCAAAATAATAATAATAAAAAACAATTTTTTACTAATTTCAGGGACTTTTAAAAGTGTGGTTACGAACCACGCTTTATTTTAAAAAAAGATTTCTTTAAAAATGTGGTTTCTAACCACGCTTTCTCTTGAAAGCGTGTTTATGAATTGCGCTTTCAAAACGCTAATAGGAACAACGTTTTCTTAATTAAAAGCGTGATTTGTAACCACGCTTTTATAATTTTATACATTTTGTGTGCCTGAACCAAAAATATACTAAAAGCGTGCTTTATAAGGACACTTCAATTTATTCTGAAAATTTCGACCAAACTAAACTTAGTTTAAAAAATAAGTTAGTAGGTTGCCTATATTTGGAAAAGACCCCTTTATTGAAACCTATTTGAGGGCTATTGCATTTAGTTGGCTAACAAAATGGTTAAAATACGAGTTGTGCTCGTGATTTCAATTTTTAATTTTTTTTTTCACTCGATAGAATTAATTAAAAAAATAAAAATTTTAACTGCTTTTTTATACATTAATAAAATTATTGAAACTATTAATTGAAATATATTTTTAATCTTATTAAATGAACTTAATGATATATTATTAAAAATAGTCATTTTTTATGAAATTAGAATTTTAAGAGATGAGATATAATTTTAAAATTATAAGAATAATTCATATTTTAAACAAAAGTAATGATACATAGGTCTAATTTGAGAGTTCTAAATGGAGTTCTAGTGAGGTGGAATAGAGATAGTAAAAAGAGATAGAGAGAGCAATAATGATTCATACCACGAAAAAAAGACCACTAATAGCACTAATGCATTGAGAATACCCAAAAAAAAAAAAAAGACATAGTCCACTACCACATCATTAGTGGTGCTATTAAAGCACCACTTTTAATGCTCTCAGCTATTTTTCTAGAAAGAGGAGTGTGGACCCCACTTTCACATGGGTATTCTCCTCCACTTCATTAGAGTTGCATTAGAGCTCTCAAACATGAATACAATGGTGCTAAATACACCAATTAGTGTACTAACTAGTATACAAACACTATTTATAACATTATTATTGACTCCACTCATTAATCACATTACAAATTTTAAAAATCTCTTAAATTATGTCACACTATCAATTGATACACTAGTTAGTATATCAATTAATATATATAGTATTATTCAACATGAATAATATTATATGTATCAATTAGTGTACCAATTGGTTATATGACATAATTTAAAAGATTTTTAGTATTTATAATTTAATATATATATATTGTAGTGAGATATGAAAAAAAAATTTACAAAAAGGAATGAGTTTGAGGAAGGAGGGAAGAGATAGCGCAACGGCTCGCAATAAAACACAACACAGCACAGCACAGCACAGCACAGCACACCAACAACGAGATATATTTATCGGAGCTGATCTGTGCGTGTGAAATAGATGGCATTGCCATTTGCCAGAAAAGAAAACAAAAAGAGAATCGTAACTAGTCTACTCTATACATTCATTTAATTCTCTCTCTATATATGGAACCCTCGTTTCCATCTTCTTCGTCCCCACAACCTCCTCCTCCTCCTCCTCTTCTGCTTCCTCCGCCGCCGCCATGTCTTCCTCTGCCCTCCTCCACCGCCCTCAGCGCCGCCGCATCTCCTCCCCTTCAACCACCACCACCCCCACCACTCTCACCTCCGCCGAAAGAGTCATCAACAACGACGATCTTCTCAAACAGATCTTAATTCGACTTCCCGCCAAGCCTCTCTTCGCTTTCAAGCGTGTTTCAAAGAGATGGCTTTCTCTCATCTCCGATCGCTACGTCCTTCGAGACTGGCTTCCCCCAATTTCTCCTTCCTCCTTCTTCCTCAGACGCTACTCCACTCCCTCATCTCACTCTATCAGTTTCAATCACATTTCGTTGCTTCCTTCCAATTCTACTCGATCCTTCGATTTCGTTAATGACCCCAACGGGGTCAAGATTTCCCAGTCCTGTAATGGGTTGTTCCTCTGTTCTTCATCCTGCTTCACTTTAGATTACAGTGACACTCGTTACTACGTCCTCAACCCCACCACCAAATACTTCTCCACCATCCCTAGGCCCACCAATGGGGATGACAGAAACTTTTTAGTTTCAATGAATTTAGCTTTTGATCCTTCTGTTTCATTTCACTACAAGGTAGTTGCTGTCCGTTCCAAAAGATGGCGCGGCCCTGATTTTCAAATCGCCATATATTCCTCCCAAACCCAAACATGGACGTTTTCCGAGGTGTCATATGCTTACTCAACGCTTATAGTATTTGAAAATGGAGTCTTTCTTAACGGTAAGATTCATTGGCCTACTTGTCACTCACAAAGATCAATCTATTATGATGTTAATGAAGATAAACTGCTCCCGTTTCGAATGCCTCATTGTGATCTCACAAAGGACCTACTGTATTTTGCGGAGTCTGGAGGTTGTCTACAGTTAATTGAGTTTACTAAAAATTGCTCTCGTCATTTTCATGTGTTCGAGTTGGAGACCGACTATTCCAAATGGTTTGTCAGGTACCATATTGACCTAAAATTGGCTGTGCCGGATTTTCCAGAGATGTATCGTGAGCAGGCTGGTTGGCCGTCTAGGGGTTATACATTCAATGTGCTTTGCTTCCTTGCTGGAGACCTTGAAGGTGATTCGTGTTTGGTCTTGTACGTACCTGGCAAAGTCATATCCTACAACTTCAAGGACGAGACTTTTAGGAAGATTTGCGATTTGAATCTGAGCCTTGGTGATATTGACTATGTACGAGTTCGCCCGTGGTTTACAGTCCATCCATGCATCGAGACCATATTTCGTGTTTGATTGTATTCTTTGCAGAATCGTTAGTGTCGTCTCCATTTCCTTGTTTTCATTTGTTTCATTCCTAGTCTTCTCTTCCTTGTACATAAGAATGTTTTCCCCCTCTGTTGGTGTAGTAGTTTCGATAGTTGTAAGTTTATTTATGCCTTTTGCATTGAAATGAATTATGTGTCATTTCGGATATGTTAGATTGATTTTATTTCCCGTTGGATAAATTTGTATATGGCTTTTGCAATGAAATGGTTTTGTAACATCAACAATGTGTCAGTTCTAATATGATTGATTTTACTTCATGTTTGAGCTTATTGAGTTTCTAAATAAGAATGTAAAACAAAACTTTTGCATGGTGATGAAATGATGCATCTGCCTGCCAATGCTGTGACCAATTAAAAACCTACATTCACTTTACTATTGGTGGCTGCCAAAGTATTATTGATGAGTGAATGAAATATATCTAGAAACATATCTGGCCAATAATCACCAAGAAGAAATAAGTGATAATGAAGCTACACAAGTTGAAGACTTATAATAGGGTATAGGATGCTTTGTAATTCTCAGTCTTGAGAAGGTTATCTGTGATAGTCTGTTGGTCTAGTAAATGTTGTCCCCTTGTGGATGGTAATAGTATGCCCGTCGCTTTATTTATTTTTGCATGGAGACCGTTTTTTCATGCTTGAGGGATTCCTTTTTGAAGTTATTACGGTTGTCTGGATTTCCCTTTCTGCTTTTTTGTTTCTTATTTTGGTCAAGAACATTGTGAGTTCACAAAAATTTATATTCTTTTTGTATACTTGTTTCTATATTGGCTAAGCATCCTATTTTATGAGTATCTTTTTTTATGGTAGTTAGGATTCCTTTCTTAGATTGCAGTCCAACTTACATATTTATTTAAAAAAAAACTTTTTCCTACTGGATTTTGAATCTTTTATGATTTGTGTATTGGATGGGGCAATTTTAGGAAGTTTTAATGTCTTTAGAGTTTTCTAGTATCTATAAAAAAAGTCCCCTTGCTGTAACACGATTTTGGAGTTGCAATGAAAGCTTTTCCTGGTTAAAGCATGAGTGTAGAATTCTTCTACTGACTCAGGTACTGAACTCGAGCTGCCCCTATGGAGCAAGGTACTTTTCTCTTCTTTTATTTTCCTATTTGTTTAATTTTTGTTCATTCCTATCTGTCGAACAGAGCTTAACCATCATAATCCAAACTTATCTCTTGGAATCCATTATTTTACAAGCCGTAGCCCTGTTTTCCTTGTTTTAATGCATACTAAGCTGTCCTTCGTCACTAGTAGAGAGTGTATCACTCATTAAATATAGAGAAGGCGTGCAACTTTAATGGTGGTAGTGCTGTCGGAGAGACTGCCAGCGTTAGGTAGTTGAGCACATTAATTGTCCTTTAGTGTGTATATTACCTTGTTCATTATTCTTTTTGCTTCCACGAGTTCTAGTACTCAACCAATATGTAGTAGAGATGCTGACTAATTTATGTCTTTCAACGTGGATTCCTTTATTTTGGCAAAGCTGGTGTCTGTCAATGAAGATCTCATTTTAAGTGGTTGAATTTCGCATTATAGCAGAATTTCGTTTTCAAGTCATATTAAAATAGAAGAATTGTTTTGATTAGCAATCATTTCTGCTAGGAAGAGATTTATGTCTCTTATCAGTTTTTCAAGAAATTGGTACTTACCAAAAAACAAAACTTAAAGAATTTGGTTTCTAGTCAAAAACTACCTTAGTGCAACCCATGTTTGAAATTGAATGCAAATAATAATTGATGTCTCATATTGGATTAAATTTTGGCCTCATCCAAACGCTACAATGCGCATTACCTATTTCTTCATTCTCATTGTTTCTTGGTCCTTAATTAGTGTGTGGTTGTGACTTGGTGCGATGGCGTTGTGGCAAGTACTATCCACCCCAAGCCTTGTGGCACGGGTTTGAGTCATGCCCTTGGTGACTTGATGTATGACTGACTACCTGTTACCTCTCTCAGACACTGCTGCACACGGGAGCTTGTGCACTCAATCAGCAGCCCCCTCACATGAAGCCTAATGTAGCTTCATGTATTGCAAGGGCTAACTCTTTTTACATATATTATCTTCCTCATTCTATTTGTAGAATTATATTACATTGTTGAAGTCTAAACTATCCATTTTGATAAAGTGAAGTCTGGAACTGAAAATAAATGTAGATGTTGAAATGAAGACTCCATGTGATGGGGCTAAACTATCAATTTTAGCTATTGCAAGGAGAACCTGAAACTTAAAATCATCCTAAACTACCAATTTTGTAGGTATTAGAGCACTAAATCAGCAGCCTCATCAGAATTACTGTGAACTTGAAATCAAGACTCAAGGAGTTCTTTTTTTTGGTGGTTTGGTTATCTTCAATTGATGAAACTTGTTGGCAAACAAAAACACTGGTTTGATCAGTTTGTTTTATTTTTCTCTGTGGTATGTTCGTACTTTACCCTCCTATAGGTTGTATTCCTTTTTTTCTTTCCTTTTTGTCTTCTTGAAAATCATTTTATTGGTGAAAGCAATATGCATTACTGCTTGTGTTATGAGCTTACTGATTCATGGCTTGAACATAGTTATGGATTTCATACCAGTTTTTATTTTTATTTTTATATATGTGATGAGGAACCCCTGATCCCACTTTCGGTGAGAGATGGGATAAAATTCTAGATATGTGTGACCACCCACAAGCTTCACATATCGGGTGATGAGGGACTTGAACCTAAAACCACTTGGTTGTTTTTTTGGCGACTTACCATTCAAGCTAGCCCTCACGGGTACAAGTTCCATACTAGTTGGTGTATTGTTTTTCACTGGAATTGATTGTTTTTAGGTATTGATGCATGTTGGCATATCATTTTTGATTTATCTCTATAAATAAAATATTACTGTCAAAAAAAGATACTCATAAATTTTAATATACTCGAATAATTTTTTTTTTTTTACAAAAACATCTATGCATCAAGTAAAATAGATTTGTGAGCCTTTCAATTCTAGGGTTGTGGATCAGCTGGAAATAGTGAGTGTGCATCCTCCTGAGCCAAAGGAGCCTCTTTGGCTATCAAATGGGAATGTATTTCAACTTTCATAGCATTTTCTATTTTCTTTTTGCAGAAAATTTGAAGTTCCACAAGGGTTTATTTCAATAGCAGTGTACTTTTCATACAAATTGGAATCATGAAGATTCTTTATGTTTGTGTGGATAGATATCTTGTTGGGGGGCTACATGTTATGTGTTGCTTGAGAAGTGCATGATATGTCACATTAAATAGCCAGATTGATTAATATTGTGTTTGAATTTTGAATTTGAATTTAAATTTGTGAAGAGATTTATATAGAACCAGATTGATTAGCCATGTGTATAAATGCATCATACCTATATTACTCTCCAGTTTTGGAAAGGCATGTGAGAATTAACTACTGATTACTCTAAGCTTTTTGCAAGCATACTCTTTGTAATTTACTTCTGACATTAACTTCAGCATCGGAGGGCCTAATGGCCTTCCAATAACCAGCCCAAGGTGTTTACCGTTTGTGTGTGTTTTGTAGAGTTGATCACAACATCACAGGTGTTCATTTCATTCTACAAGAGCTTAAATTCACCCTCTACACGGACCATTATCAAGTGGTATATCATTGTGGTCTCCCAATTGCAGAGAAGATGATTCAGGGGATTAGGTTTCTTCTTTTTTTACTTTTCAATGCTGCTAGTGTTCTCAATTGATCTGCAGGTGAGAACCTAATGCTGTGTTTGGTTGAGGGATTTAATGAGCGATTTGGAAAGAGAAATGAAAAAAATGACTGGGAATACATTACATCTTTTTTCCTTTTGTTTTACAACTCTCATTCTCTATATATATTTGGTGTCATCTATCTAGGACTTGGGAGACGGACTAGCTATGGGTGCAAATACGATTAGGGGTGAGCAGCGGATATACCGATCCGCCAAAACCGACCGAACTGAACCGATCCGCCGCATTTTGGACGGATACGTGATGACGAGCGAATGGTTGTGGATTGATTTTTTCTAATCCGCCAAACTGGCGGACGGATGGCGGATTTGAGATTTCTTTGGCCGCAACCGAACCGCCAAACCGCGAGCACCCATAGTAATTTATTAGACTTTGTGTTTTCAGTTTGTTTAAATATTCTGTTTGTGTTTTTAATTAAAAAAGAGTTTAAATATTCTATTGAAAAAAAAATTTCAACTTGAATATCTTTTTTGAATTAAAAAAATAAGCTTATTATTTATCTATATTTTTTGGTTTTTAAATCTATCTCTAAAAATAATAAATAGAAAATATGATATATGCTGGTTGGTTTTTGTTTTAAAAAACAGATATAGATGTAACAATACAGAGACATACAATCTCTACTACTGCTCTGTTCATGATTTTGGTGGTTTGAAATTATTTTTATATTTTAAGAATCATAGATTGTTATACTTTATGTGGATGAGGTATGCTGTGATTGTAGTATATGGATGAGACATGCAGTAATTGTGATATTCTAAAGTTTCAAACTTTCTTGCTTTGGATGAAGCATGCAATAATTGTAATATTTTTTTGAGTCGTGGACTGTAATACTTTCTTTTCTTTTTTTTTGAGAAAGTGCACAAGTTGAATTATGTTGAAAATTTATAAAATTTTAAACCGCCAAACCGATTCGCATTCATCCGCCAAACCGCTCAATCCACATCCGCCGGATTGACGGACGGATACGGATTGATTTTCTCCAATCCGCGAATCTGACGGACGGATGGCGGATTTGAGGTTTCGTGGCCGCAACCGACCCGCACCCACCCCTAAATACGATACATTTGCAATTTTACATTCAATTTTTTTGTGTGGTGTGATTAATGAGAAAACCGTTAACGATTTAGGTAATTTGATTAATGTGAAAAACCATTTAACATTTATTGGAGGAGACCTTTAGGGCATTCTTGGGAACAAAGAAAGAGAAAAAAACGAGATAGTGCTTGCTTCAAATGAGGGGTACACTTTATATAATAGAATTAATTTGTTTGCTTAGGAATGTGAAATTGAAACCTATTTGAGGGTTATTGCATTTAGTTACCTGACAAAATGGTTTTGCTATAAGATGATACCTTTACCACTAACAAATTTGAAATTTGAAATCTTATTGGTAAAATATCAAAATGAAAACCAAAACTTCTTCTACTGAGAGTTCCATTTTAAGGCAAATAATAAAAACAGAACCAACTTTCATTCCAAAATGGAAGCAGTAATATGTTGAGGGGAAAATGAGTGAAAGCACTAATTAGTGTCATCACTAATGATGTGGCAGTAGGTCCCACCATGAATGATTTGATGTTTTGACTTAGTGTTGTATTTTTTTTCTTTTTTTTATTGAGTGCTATGTGGTCTTTCTAGAACTCTAAAATTAGTGGTCTCTATCATTGTTGTGTAATATACTTTATCTTGAATGTTAAAATATTATTTTAAATTAGTATTGAAATGATATTTAAAGGCCATAACCATAAAGATTTAAATAATTTTTTTCAATTATCTAAAAGTCGAGAAAAAGCCTCCATATACAAAATCATATCTAAAATAATAAATATATGGTAACTGGGTTAAAAGTAAAAAAGTTAGATTTTTAGTTTTTTTTGGTCATATTACCTCTCTATTTTTTTTACATTTTTTTTTTAAAAAAAAGCTAAAAAATTAACTTTTAACCTATTTATCAAAATAGGCCTCACAAATTTTATTTACAATAATAAAAAGTAAAATTTACTATTTAAATATAAAAAGTATAGTCAATGATCATCTATTTTCAAATTCTTCATTTTCATGCTCCAAATTTGATGTATTTCCAATCATTAGATGATGTGAGAAATTCAAAATATAAAAAATTCTAAACATGATTTAATGAATAAGCATACATTAAGAAAAAGTAGCAATAGATCAATGTGATGCAACTTATTGTAGGTTGTAAGTGGATAATCAGAAAATAAAAGTTAATAATAGTACTCATCTCTTAGCTTATAAATAATTAATTTTTTCCCTTTCCTTAAGATATTTATACTTAATAAATTGTAAGCAAAAATTATACTAAATAATCTTATACAAACACCACTATAATGCACTATGACCCCGTTTATTTTAAGAGATAGAGAGGGGATTGAGATTGAGATGGAAGTGAGATCTACTAATGTTGTGTTTGTTTTGGAAAATGGAGAAGGAATTTATAATCCCCTCCAAATTAGGATGAACCTTGAGGAGGCGATTAGGATGGAGGCTTGAAATTTGGTATTAGACAATAGTTTGCCAGATTATTTTTTTAATTATTTTTTACATGTTGGGTATTTTTTTTTTTGAACATTAATATTTAATTTTTTGTTAAGTAAACATCATAGTTTTATTTATTTTTATTTTATTTTTTTCATGTTGAGCATTTTTTTTGAAACATTAATGTTTAATGTTCTTGTATTTTTTATTTTTTTATTATTTTATATCAAAATAATTTAACAATCCCTACGTCAATAACTATCATCCAAATAAATATAATTTTATTTAATTTCTTCACTATCAATCCTCACATTACGAATTTCCATTATTATATTTTTGAAAACAAGCGGTCCTATATGCTTGCTGATGCAATAATTAGTGAAGAGCATTTTTTATTTTTTGTTACTTTATATTTTTGCCCTGATCCACAAAGCCAACATGGTTTCAAGTTGGACAAAATAAAGAATGTGATTGCACGAGGCTCTGCTCCTTTGCTTAGAAAATTGACCAATTCTTCGGTTCAGACCGGTTTGGTTTAATATAATTTATTAGTTGCCTAAGCATGACATGACAATCATTTGTGGTTTTTGATTTTTTTATTTGGCCTCCTTTGTTGACTTTGACAACAAACATCTCCCACCTAAGAATGTTCTATTATTGTTATGTTTATTTGTTTATAATTTAAGTTTGATTAAGATAAAAGTGATGAAAAGATAAATAAAAAATTATAAAATTTCTTTCATTTATTTAGAATGAGAGTGGTAAAAAAATAAAATACTTTAATTTTTGATACAATTCAAGGGATCTATTTGGGACAACAGATAATCAGAAAGTAAAAATTAAAATACAAAAGCATCAATTTCACAATTTTAAATGAGTTTCTTTAATTTATTTAAATTATTTTCACTTAATAAATTGTAATATGTACCAAGTAACTGATATCAGCTCTAAAAATAAAACAAGTTGTAAGCAACTTAGATTAACGTGGTTTCAAAAACACCCCTCCCTCAAATTTTACATAATATTTTTTAAATAATTTATTTAATTTATTTTTATTTAATAAATTATAAACAGAAATTGTATCATATAATTTAACACAAATATCTAAAAAATAATAATAATAAAAGCTGTCAATTGATAACGTGATTTCAAATTTTGTTCGTGTGAAAATAGGAAAAGAAAATAAAACTCAGTTTATTTATTTTTTATTATTTTAATTTCATGCGATATTCTTTCTTAATTAGAAAAATAGTTATAACAAAATGTTGGGCTCTGAATAGTAGTTTTGTAGACCACCGGGATGGTGGCCAGAGCCGAGTTTGACATTTGAGGGTGCGAAATATAATTTTGAGTGATTTTTTTTATAAAAATTTCACGTGTTTTCGATCAAAATTTTAATCTTATTAGGATGATCGATGAGATTCACTAATATCTTGATATTAGATTTAGTAATAGATCCCTTTCTATAAATTAAGTTAAATTAGACTAACAATCCATTACTCTATAATTTGAGTTCACGGATACCGTGATATCAAGTTGATAAAAAGCTAACTTTTGGTTTTTTACCAAATTTTTTAACTTTTTTAGAAGTGATTTGGGAAGTTAGTAAAAAGTTGACTTTTTTGATTTTTGATTTAATATTTTTTAAAAGTGTCACATCACTCTAAAATGACCAAAATATCCTCACTTTTTAATTTTTAAATTAATTAATTAAAATATTCTAAGGGTAGTTTGGTAAATTTGGGTGTTGCGTTTTTGGTCTTTCCAAACGGGCTTCTTGGCGTTTTTGCATGGCTGGCGTTTTTGTTGCAATGCTCAAAACGCTGGCTTTTTGTTAAGTTGCCAAAATGGCACTATATATTTTGGGGGATGCACCAATAAATCCCAAATTAATAACTTACGCACTGTTTAGTCCTAAAAGTTTTCTTATAGACTGAAAGGTCCCATCACAATGTTAATAACATCAGATACTGTCGTCATTGACTTTCGATTCCATTGACCGTCTCCCAGGTCTCTCTCTCTCTCTCTCTCTCTCTCTCTCTCTCTCTTTCTTCCACTTTTACCTGAACCCAGAACTCATTTCTCACCCCCTTCTCTCTCTCTTGATCGTCTCTCTTTCTCATGTAAATATATATACATACATGTTTTTGTGTGTGTACAGATTATCTCACTTCTGTCTATGTTCACTTAGAAATCAATAGCTAACAAGGTAATTTGATTTCTATTATGATATGGTCTCTTAATTTCAGGATCTAGTTGCTGAATTGATCTTTGTATTCTCTATTACTTTACATATATGGGTATATCTATGTATATATAATCTCATATATTCATATCAGCATGCTTTTGATCTCTACATATCCATCTTATACATGTTTCTTAATTAAGTAGCTTGCTATGTATTTTTAATTTTTTTTTTTTTTAAATATCTTCTCTTATGGATTTGGGCAAATTGAAATTTCTTGTTAATGGGCTGGAAGGGCAATACTATTGTTGAAACTTCTTGTTGATGGGTTGCAATTATTGTTTTGGTAACAGTGATTGGGGGCAATACTATGTTGAATGCAACTAGGACTAGTTGAAGACCAATTCATATGTGAAACTTGAATGTGAATTGAACAACCTCTGTTTAGGAGACGAACAATGGGAGGGCGTAGTTCGAAGAATTCTATTCCTCATAATAGGTTCTCAAATAGCAACGGTCGTGTTGATTATTATGGGTCTGGTCGTTCAGAGTATCAACCAAACGGGGTTAAATCAAACTCGGAAAATGAGATTAAATCAAATTTGCTGAGTAATTCCACTCCTCTGCAAGTGCACGATAGCAGCGTGGAGAAGCCATTGAAAGAATCAAGTTCATTTCATGAGAAGGGTTCAGATGGATATAGGAGCAATGAGGATGATTTTTATGATGGAATTCCACGTTTTCCGAGGTCTCTATCACAGAAATCTAGATCAATGAGGTCTAAGCAGGCAAAGGCCGCAAAGGTTAATACAAACATACTTTCCATTTCCTTCTTTTTTTATTCTCCCCGACTGTGGTTTTGCTTGAGAATCTGTAAAATAATTTCTTCATGTAGCTTCAATTGGTTAGCTGTTTTATACATTTATTATGGATTATTTAATATTAGCCAATACTGAACTGTGTTAACTGATTGGATTGCTTTTATTCAACCATACCAATGCTATATTGTCCTTCCTACATTCTAACAGGAAGAGGTCATGTTGTACATATGCCAATGTTTGGTTCAGAACCCTTTCCCAGTTGACAAGATAAACAATGTTTAAATTTTTTTTCAAGTTCTTTCTCAAGCGAGACCTAAATGGGACCATATCCATTCGCACCCCCCCCCCCCCCCTTCTGATGACATGGAAATAAATTCTTGAGTCATCCCACACTGATGAACTGATTTTAGTTTTCTTCTTAAAATATAAAGAATAGAGATTTTCATGAAAATAAAAGAATTAGAGTAGGTTCGAGGTAAAAACTTAAAATCCATAGGAGTGACATGCTTGCACAGTGATATTCTGTGGTTATATTAATAGGGTGAAAGTGTTGAGGATGGCCACGTCATTTTACATAGTGAATAGAAGTATGCTGTCAAGAGACACACCTACAATGAATTTAGACACTTCCCCTATTTGTAGATCATGGCAAACAGTTAAGATTAATTGCTTTGATTAGATTATATTTGTAAAACCCCTACTAAGTGCTGTAGTGTTGCAGGTTTCAGAAGGGAGTTCACGCTTAGGCAAAGCTCGTAATCGTGGCCTTGGGAAGGCTGTTGAAGTCTTGGATACACTTGGAAGCAGTATGACTAGTTTGAATCCAAGCAGTGGCTTTGTTTCTGGGGTGACAACTAAAGGCAATGAACTTAAAATTTTATCATTTGAGGTTGCTAACACAATTGTTAAGGGTTCCAGTCTTATGCAGTCCCTTTCAAAACGGAGCATGCGACAGTTGAAAGAAGTGGTGCTTACTTCAGAAGGTGTTCAACAGTTAGTGTCAAATGACATAAATGAACTCTTAACTATTTTTGCCACTGATAAGAGGTCAGTATGAGAGAAGGAAATAAAAGGTTTACAATAGTTGCTTCAGTTAAGCTTACTCTAAATGATTATTGCTGTATTATCTATTGTTTTTCTAAGATAGCAAATTTGATTATTTACTACAGGGAAGAGTTGAAAATTTTTTCAGGAGAAGTAGTTCGTTTTGGAAATCGTTGTAAAGATCCTCAGTGGCACAACTTGGACCTTTACTTCGAGAAGTAAGTTATGGCATTACTGTTTTGCTATTGAACTTATCTATTTAATGTTTACCGTGTTTTTTTTTTCTGATTGCGTATTTTATTTTCCAGACGCAGTAAACAACGTGCCCCTCATAATCAGTTGCGTGAAGAAGCAGACCAGATGATTCAGAAATTAATGACCTTGGTTCAATACACGGCTGTGAGTATCATCATTTATTACAAAAAGATTCTAATTCCAAATGTTCATAATATTAGTTGTATAAGAGCCCCATTACTGGTCTTGGTCATGACCGGCCGTGGACCATTGGGGCTTAGCCCAAGGTACATCTAGGCCTACAATCCATGTCATAACAATAGAATTACCATCTACCACTAAATGACAAAATCTGAATAAAACAAAATCCAATCTCTATAAATAATATTTACTGATTCAAAACAGCTTAAGTGAAACATAAATCCAATTGTGGAAATGAATTACGTGACAATATTTCAGTTTTTAAGATAATGTTAATACATGAATGAACGTGTGTAAAGAATTCCAAAAACATAAATCCTATTCTTTTTGTTGTAAATGGGCCTTGGGTGTTTCACACTTTGGAAGGAAAATACTAAAGTTCTTTGGGCCACAGGAGTTGTACCAGGAGTTGCAGGCATTGGACCGTTTCTTTGAGCAAGATTCTCAGCTTAAGCGTCAAGAAGATGATAATCCATATTCGACTCAAAGAGGTGATTTCACTATCCATATCTACATACCGTTCAGTATGTGTCTTCTATTGAACAGTTACCAGTTGTATAATGAAGTTACGAAGGAAAATATACATAATCTGTCTGAAATTTCAGAATATACCTTCTAAAGTTCCTGTATCACATAAATGGGTGTAAGCACTTATGTCTAATTAGCACTTTGCCCAGAAACTCAGATGAGTAGAAGTTGGATATGATAACTTAGCTGAGTCTCCATGTCCTAAGATCTTGAGATTGTACATTAAAAAAGAAAAAACAGCCTGCATGCATTCTTTAGTTGAAGCAACAACGCTACCTTATTGCAGGCAGGAAGCATAGTAATATAAATGTTGAGCCTCAATATGGAGAAGGATTGCTCTCATAAATGCAAATTATACTTCAGTTTCCAAAGTTGCACTCATAATGAAACAATATGAAAGTCTACACTTACGTTCTGATATCTGGTTCTTAATCTCCATATGGAATTCCTATTGCCAGACCTAATGTTATGTTAGATGATGACAACTTTGTGTTGGTTTTTCTGCCACTTAATTAGCTTGCAAAGAAGTATATATATATGTGTGTGTGTGTGTGTGTGTGTGACGGATGTTGACATCTTGAAAGCATAAAAAATCCTTCGGATTTTCTTTATTAGGTTGCATATGTTGGGGAAACGCTCCAACCACTATCAAGTGTGAATCAAAGGATACAAGAATAGGCCAAATAATTTCAACCACCTGGTCAAGATTAATCAAGACAATAATAATATGCGTAGTACTCAATAAAACTAATCAAGTAAACAAATAAAAATAGAGAATAACAGGCAACCAACCAAGGCACCAAATTTATGAGGAGAACCCTCCAGTGTAAAGGAGACAACCACGGGGCAAATTTGATATCTTCACTATCACCAAAATAATAATGTTACACAATAATATTTCCAAAGAATGGGTGAACCAAACTTTTACATGCCCAAAACTTGAGCAACAACAAAATACAAATAAAGTCTCACCACCATATGATCTTCCGACCATGTGGAGAAATGCCAACCCACTGCTGAATACCTCTACAGTGCTAACACCTCTTTATTTTCTTCTTGAGTCTCGTTGTTTGATTTAAGGCATAGACCCCCTTATATGCATGCAGAAACTGAGAGAACAATGAAAATGCTATCAATATTACCTGCAATTTGTGTATGTAGAAAGCTAGTCAGGTTCAGCTGAAGTGTTTCTTTACATATTTTTAATGGGTTCCAGTATCTGTCTGATTATGTATCAAATAATCCATACTATATGTCAGTTTACGACATCTCTGTTGTTAGTTGAGTACAGGTGGTACCTTTGCACTGTGTAATTTTGTGGAGTCATGCTATTTCCATTATTTGTTTTATTTTGCAGGTATAATTACTGTTTTATGTATGGCTTTTTAAAGTTCCACTCTATACTTTATAGGGATCATGTTGATGTTTATCTTATGATGTGATTAATCTTGATGAAATTGTTGAAAGTTCCATAGAATTCATGACAAAGTCATTGATTATGCATTTGGTTGGCGTTTTTAGTTATCAATTAAAGTTTAATTTCTTCAAGAGTATCTTTATCAATAAATTAACTGTAAGCCAATATTTTTCTTTTATCCTCAGGTGATAACCTTGCAATTTTGAGGGCTGATTTAAAAAGCCAAAGGAAACTATTGAAAAGCTTGAAGAAAAAGTCACTCTGGTCCAGGACTTTGGAAGAGGTAGCTGTTGGAATTAATTGCATACTCCCTCTTTCCAATTTGTTTGTCCATCTTTGAAAACCTGACTTCTTAAGGTGACAAATATTAAATTTATTTTCATCTATGACAAACAACACTTCTAGGAACATCCCCTAATTTACACACTAAAGTACTCCCCACTCACATGGAGAGTAGATGTGGTTTCCACTCCCAATGGAGTGGGGTAGTAGTTTTGTGTGTAAATTATTAGATGTTACAGTTACAATTAAGTATCGGTTTCTGGAGCTTTTCTTCTAATCACACTATTAAATGCTTTCACATTTACCTAAGGATTATTTTAGGAAGCTATAAATCATATTCCTTGACTTTTCAAAGTGAGAACAATTTTGGGACATCCTAAATGAAAAGTACCAAACAGTCTAGGATAGAGTACATGAGCTATTGTGTGGTGAATGTATTTTGTACAAACTAATTATACGTATTTACAGTTTCTTTGATGGCTCTTTTATTTTCTATTTCTGGTACTATTATGTATATAGTTCTTTTCCCTAGCAATAGATATTACTGATTTGGCCTATCCATTTCACTCTTGAACTTCTGCTTAAAGCTATCATTTTCCTATTACATCTCGCTGATTTTCCTTGTGTGAAATGATTTACTTATTTTGCTCAGACACAACCAGTTGCTGTTAGGGAAAAAAAAATTAAATTTAAGTACATTTTAGAAAAGTAATCCAATATTGTGGAATACAGGTCATGGAGAAACTTGTTGATATTGTCCTCTTTTTGAATCGGGAGATGCATAACATCTTTGGCAATGCTGGTATGTATTTATTTTACATCATTACATGTTAAAGAGCAAGTCTATTTGTTGTCACCATGATGCATGACTGTTTAATTTAACCTTATTTTATTCTCATGTAATTTCTGAAGTCATTAGAAAAGAATAGAATTGTGTGTACTGTGTCAAAGGTTCTATATGCAAAATTGCATTGTACTTTCTCTTTTTTTCATTAATTACATAGCAAGTTTTTCATCTGGGAAGAAAATGTGGTGGTGATAGTAATGGTAGCAATTTTCAACTAGCGTCTAGGAGGGTTTTCAAAAGAGATGGAGGAAATGGGTCATGCATGAGGGGGAGTGTTAGCTTGATATACATTGTTGGGCCTATTTTTTAAAAGCATATACTTTGGGACTAGTGGTGATCTAACAGTCAGAAGTCTATTTTGAGTCTGAAGGTACTGTTTTTGTCTCATTTTTGTGGCTTAGAATTTTCATTTCTCCTCACTTTGCTGACTTCTTAGAGGAGTTGTATATCCCTGTAGATGCCTAGATGATTTTGTTGTCTTTTTGGAGTAAACTTTTCGTATACACCTTGTGTAGAGTCTGTGCCAAACAAAAAGATTCAACTATGAAGAGCATATGAATTTGCTTTGTCCTTGCTCATATCACCATCCAATATGAGCGCCTTTTGGAAGCTGTTGAGTCAATCTCTACAAGCCTAGAATCGAACATAACAAACAGGCTTATTTACTTCTTTTTTTTTTAATTAATTGACAGTTTGTATGTATAACTGTATACTTTTCTTGGGATGATGAACAACATTAGACAAACGTGATGCCAGATGGCCTACCAACTTTAGGAATTCATTCAACAATTTCTGAGTGTTTTTAAACTTGTGATAATGCCTTCCTAATGGATGACCTGCAGATGGTGATAAACCATCAGAAGGATCTCTGGCCAATCAACAAAGATTGGGATCTGCTGGTCTTTCATTGCATTATGCGAACATTGTAATCCAGATTGACACAATTGTGAGTATACCTCTCTCTTCATATTTGACATCTCTGTAACTTTGCATCCTAGATTTCTTTTCGTATTGATTGATAATTTTGGTGAGGTTTTCTAGACACTGCTTATATTAACTTACAGCAGTTGTTATATATTGAATTTAGCAGTGCACTTTCTATATGTTCTGAAGCTATCTTTTTTCGTTTTGTTTCGTTTTTTTTTTCTTTTTTCTTTTTTTGGTTTGCATTACCTTAAACCATGTGTTAGGTCCTTTTTACTGAATTATTTTCTGACATGATTAGGTAGCCCGATGCAGTTCTATGCCTTCCCATTTAAGGGAAACATTATACAAGAACCTTCCACCAAGTATGAGATCAACTTTGCGGTCCAAACTTCAGTCTTCTCATGTAAAAGAAGGGGTACTCTTCTGATGTTGCTTCTATTATTATTTTTCTTGTCCTCATTTTCTCAAGTGATCGATTCAATTTCTTATAAAAATATATGAAAATAAAAGGAAATTCATATACTGAAGCAAAGGGTGATTTTTCAGCATTTTTCATTGTAGCAGCTAGATCATTGAAAATTTTAAGCTCCAACTCCAAGTAATGCTTTGAATGACATTCTCTGTTGTTATCTTTGTGTTTCATATAGTATTTCTTGTTTGTGTGCAGCTCACTGTTACAGAAATTAAAGATGAGATGGAAAAAACATTGAGCTGGCTTGTTCCCACTGCCATAAACACAGCAAAGTAGGATAACCAATCTCCTTGCAAACATTTATTTCCTTTCGGCGATAATGTTTTTGTATTTGTATTTGTACTTGTATTTCCCTTTCGCATTCTTCTGATTCTCATTTTTGTTGCGTTTGGTTGCAAAATTTTGAATTTAGAGACCATCATGGATTTGGTTGGGTTGGAGAGTGGGCAAATACGGGGTGAGTAAAGAAATTTGGCTTTTATTCATATTTTCATTTATTTCTCCACTGGGATTGTTGAAATATTCTATAGGCTGAAATAAAATATGGGCTCTTATGAGTACAGGTCAGAATCAAATCGGAAGCCAGCTGGACCAATTGAAGTGATTCGAATTGAGACATTTCACCACGCAGACAGGGAAAGGACCGAAGCTTGTATTCTTGAGCTATTGGTGTGGCTTAACCATCTGATAAAAGAATCCAAGGTTAGCGCAAATGGTAGTGAGAAGAGATTGCCCATCAAAGCCTCAAGTGACACATCCTTCAAAGAGACAAATCAGCATTCCGAGCAATTGGCCAATAGTGCCTCATCATCTAAGCAAAGTATTGAGGACCAAGAGATGGTACTGGACACAATAGAAAGTGGAGAAAAGGATTAAGAGTCAGGACTTCGATTCCATGCAAAAAACTAGGGCTGAGCAAGGAATTCGTGAAATTCGTAATCCGATCCAGTTCAATCCAATCCGATAGGTTTGGATTGGTTTTTTGAATCCACGGTTCGGTTCCGGATTGAAGAATTAAAAATCCGTAGTCCACGGATTGGTTCCGGATTGAATCCCATAGTTCCGGGTTGGAACCGATCCAGACAGTGTACAAATAGTCTATATTTTTATTATACATCCTCCCCCATAGTATCTTCTCTTATTCTATATAAAATCTAAACTCAAATCTAAAACCGTATAATATCTTATTTTATTACTTTTGTTTATTAGTTTTTAGTTTTAATTTGTAATGGTCTAAATATTTATGATGAAACTAGTTTTCTTATGGTTGTTTAAATTCTATAACAGTATGTCACTATTATAGAAAAACATATTGCTATTGTGGAACTAATATAGCGCCATGTTTATATTTTTATAAAATTGAAGTGTTATATATATATATATATATATTTGTTATTTAATTATGTGAATCCGTGGTCTTAAACCGATCCAATCCGTATTTAAATGGATTGGTTCGGATTGGTTTCATGATTTAAACGGATTGGATTGGTTCTAATTTTTCAGGAACTGTAGATAACGGATTGATCTTGATTTTATCTCAATCCGGTTCAATCCGGACCATTCTCACCCCTACAAAAAACAGGCTAATAAAGCACCACAAATTGAGCAAGAGTAGAGGGCAATCAGAAGCAAAAAACCATTTCCCAGTTAAGGAGCTTTCTTACAGCATTGTTTACTATATTTAATGGAAAAGGAGAATTTTATCAAGATGAGAGGATTGAATGATGTGCGATGGGGTCCAAAGCAGTACCCGACATCATTATCTTAACCCTTTATTTGTTTTTATCTATGTTTAGAGTAGTAGAAAGTTCGTCAAAAATATGCTTATAATTGTGCACAAAGTCCTTGTATTTAATATATGTCATTATATGTATAAATTTTTGAAAAGCCTATGACTAGGCTTGATTAGGTTTTTAGACTTTTGTAAAAAGTTTAGCCGTAAGTTTGGAATAGGCATTAAGTCTAGGTCTTGGGTTTTTGTTTTTATCCTTCTATTATATTGTATAAATTGGCATTTATGCCAACGGAAGAAGCAATGAAAAATTTTCCTTCACTCTTCTTTGCAAAAATTTTCTCCAACTTCTCAGACTCTAAAAAATTCTAAGTGTTTAAGTCTTTCAGAATCTCAAAGTCTGTAACATAATCTTTGTAAGTATAACCAAACCAAATCAAACCAAGCCTTAAGTCTCATCAAATGGGGTCAGCTATATGAATCATTCTTCTCCACTCGGCCCTATCAAAGGCCATTTCGTTAGTCAAATTAAGTAGATCCATATCTCTATTCACAACACTAACCAACATTAATCCAGGCCTACCTCGTCCCCTAACACTTTCATTTACCGTTACAGCGTCGCATCTCTTTACTACTGCCTCTGTTGGTCTCCGTTGAATATGACCAAACCATCTTAATCGATTCTCTCTCAACTTATCTTCTATCGGTGCTACTCCTACCCATTTCTGAATACACTAATTCCTAATTATGTCTTGTCTAGTCTTGCCACACATCCACCTTAGCATTCTCATCTCAGCCACACTCATCTTATCTACATGTTGTTTCTTAGTTGCCCAACACTCTGTCCCATACAACATCGCTGGTCTAATAGCCGTTCTATAGAACTTACCTTTAAGTCTAGTGGGTATTCGTCTATCGCACAGTACCCTAGACGCAGTTCTCCATTTACACCATCTTGCCTTAATCCTATAGGTCACATCCGCATCAATCTCCCATGCTGTTGTGATAATCAACCCTAAATAACGAAAATGTTCACTCTTAGGCAGTTCTTGATTCTCAATCTTCACTTCTCCTCTACTTTCATTGTTACTGTTACTAAATTTATACTCCATGTACTCTGTCTTAGTTCTGCTTATCCAGAAACCTTTAGATGCAAGAGCTTTTCTCCAAGTCCTCAACTTTGTATTAACTCTTTCTCTAGTCTTATCTACTAGCAATATATCGTTTGCAAAAAGCATGCACCATGGTACGTCATCTTGGATATTTCTCGTCAACTCATCTATAACTAAAGCAAAAAGGTAAGGACTTAAGGTAGATCCTTGGTGTAACCCTACAGTGATAGGAAATTCATTTGTTTCTCTAGCAGGCGATCTAATAGTGGTCACCACTCCTTCATACATGTCCCTAATCACATCAATGTAACCTTTTGTCATGCCTTTCTTCGCTAACACCTACCATATTAGCAAAAAGGTAAGGACTTAAGGTAGATCCTTGGTGTAACCCTACAGTGATAGGAAATTCATTTGTTTCTCTAGCAGGCGATCTAATAGTGGTCACCACTCCTTCATACATGTCCCTAATCACATCAATGTAACCTTTTGTCATGCCTTTCTTCGCTAACACCCACCACATTATATCCCGGGGCACTCTATCATATGCTTTCTCAAGGTCGATAAACACCATATGAATGTCTCTTTTCTTTTCTCTATGTTTTTCTATAACTCTCCTCAAAAGATGTATCGCTTCCATTATTGACCTGCCAGGCATAAACCCAAATTGATTCTTTGACACTCTGTTATATCTCGTAATTGGCGTTCTATCACCCTCTTCCACACTTTCATTATATGACACATTAGTTTGATTCCTCTATAGTTGTTGCAATTCTGGACATCTCCTTTATTCTTATAGATTGGCACTAAAATGCTCTTCCTCCACTCATCTGGCATGTTCCTAGTCAATAAAATTTTGCTAAACAACCTAGTCAACCAAGCAACCCCTTTTTTACCCAAACATTTCCAAGCTTCAATGGGGATATCATTCGGTCCTAAAGCCCTATTGGATTTCATCTTCTTAAGTGCAATTTCCACTTCAAAGTTTCTAATCCTGCGATCGAACCTATAGTCTTGGTTAATCATATTACTGGATGTTTCTTCCTCTATTGCCGTAGCTCCACGTTCCTCATTTAATAGTTTCTCAAAATAGTTCTTCCATATTTCCTTAATCTCTTCATCCTTCACCAATACCTTAGAATCTTCACTTTTGATGCACTTAACTTGATTAAAATCTTTTATTTTCCTCTCCCGTATCTTAGCAAGTTTGTATACTCTCTTCTCTCCTTCCTTACTATCTAGTCTAGTGTATAGGTCATCATAAACTTTCAACTTAGCCTGTCTCACTACTTTCTTGACCTCCTTATTAGCCAATCTATAGCTCTTAAGGTTTTCCTTAGTTCTATCATTTTGTCACTTTTTAAAGCATTCTTTTTTTGCCTTAACTACTGCTTGAACCTCTTCCCTCCATCACCAAGTTTCCCTAGAGCTGGGTCCCATTCCTTTCGACTCTCCAAGCACTTCCCTTAAGATTCTCCTCATACAATTGGCCATCGAGTTCCACATAGTGTTAGCATCATCTTCCAAGTCTCAAGTACCTTCCTTATCCATTTTATTCTTAAATATTTCTAATTTATCCCTTTTTAGGTCCTACTATCTCGTCCTACGACGCTCACCATCCTTCCTAGCTTGGTATTGCCCTCTAAAACATAAATCTAGTACCAAAACCCTATGTTGAGAGGTCAGATTTTCTTCAGGAATCACCTTACAATCATTGCATTTAAGGCAGTCTACTTTTCTCACTAAGAAGTAATCTATTTGGCTCTTAATTGACCCACACTTAAAGGTTATCAAATGCTCCTCCCTCTTTTTAAACATAGTATTGGCCACCACCAGGTCAGAAGTCAACGCAAAATTTAAGATACTCTCTCCAGCCTCATTTCTGTCACCAAAACCGTATTCACCATGCACCATTTCATAGCCTAGTTTATCTATGCCTACATGGCCATTAAAATCTCTACCTATAACCAGGTTCTCTCCTATGGGTATCTCCTACAAGATCTCATCCATTTGCTCCCAAAAATCCCTCTTAGTCTGATCATCTAATCCTACTTGAGGGGCGTATGCACTAATAACGTTTATTATATTCCCTCCAATAACTAGTTTAACTAACATAATCCTATCTCCTTTCCTAATGACCGCCACTACATTTTCTACAAGACCCTTGGTAATTAAGATTCCTAGCCCATTCCTACGTCTATCATTACCACTATAATACAGTTTAAAATCGGTATCCTCAATTTTCCTAGCTTTCTCACCCGTCCACATAGTTTCTTGTACGCAAGCTATACTAACTCTCCTTATAATCATAACATCTACTAACTCCATCGTCTTACCAGTTAAGGTTCCTATATTCCAAGTGGTTACCCTAAACCTGTAGTCTTGGACTAGTTTCTTTATCCGCGCTCGTCTAGGAAAACGCAGGAACCTTTGCCCATTTTTCACCGCACCCAGGCGTTGATGCGGCGTCCCTTGCTCACTTTTCGAAACACCCAGAGGTAGGCGCAACGTGTCACTTAAGGGTAACGACCTAGCATTTAAATGATTCAAAGTAGGATTAATTGTCATAAGGGATCTGAGCGACTTTTTTTACGTGTTAGCTGTCGGCTATCTAACACACAACTCTCCTCCTTAACTCGGGCTTGGGATCGACAGAGTTGTTAACAACCCTAGCGGAGTTAATCTTTGTAAGTATATTACATATTAATATGAAGTGTGAGTAGTCGTTCTTTTTCTTTAGATATTTCAAAAGGGTAACTCTTCTGTTCTAAAATTTATTTTCTTTTTGGGAAAAAATCAAGTTTATGGAATGCTTGCTTGCTCATTAATATTACATGCTTTGAACCTTCATAGTATCTATTGTTTTCTATTTCATTACTGAGTGACCTTAGCTAAAGAACCTATGTGAGTCGTGGTTTGGCATTGAGGGTAAATTGTAGGTAGAAAGGGAAAGGTAAGGAATGGAAAATAAAAATATGCTATGTTAAACGAAGCTTAGTTTTAAGGTGGGAGTACATGTAATGAAAGCAAACATTGCCTAAAAATAGTTTTACCAAATAAGAAAAAGAATTTTAGAATACAGGGAGAGCAACCTGAGTAGAAATATCAAGGAAATATTTTTCATATAAAAATTTTAGAATCAAAATTTTATACTTTTAGAAGAAAAACTTAGAATTAAAATCAGATCCAGTACTGAGTTTATACAAGAATTAGAAGATCAAAAACTAAGATATCAATTTCTGTTATCATTAGCCTCCAATAAATCTCTAGTACATTATAGTTTGAAAACCACACAAATAAATAGACAAATAACAATAAAACAAGAAGCTTTACAGCTAGCCATAAAACAGCTTGAGGATTTATT